TTTAGCAAAATGTAGAGCAGAAGTTATCCTGTAGTTCTTCGAAGTGTATCTTATATACTGAGAGCAATCTTCCCGTTGATTTGACCAGTTGGACCTTCGATTTGCTATTTTGGGGGCGAAAAGATACCCGCATGGTCAATCATCAACTTGAAATATATCTTCGTACGTACAGCATTAATTGAGCATTTAATGCATGTACAGTACCATGTTTCCATTGAATGGCTCCTAGCCGTTAGAGAATTTCCCGTTAGTTTCACGGCCGTTGGAAAGTGCCTTCAAATTCTGCTAAGTAAGGGCAAGTCTGATGAGGCTTTCTGGTCCGAACTCTGATGTCTGCCTCTGATGCCAACTCTGGTACCCAACTCTGGTAGCTTCTCTGGAGAGCAACTCTGGGAGCAACTCTGGTAGCTGTTCTGATCAAGAAGACCAAGAGGGTTTCTGGCATGTCGACTATGCTAATACTTACAACGAAAATTTCTAATACAAAATTTCTATAGGGGTAATTTCAAATTCTAATTAACCTAGCATCATCAAAATCTAATTACATTTATTCATTACAATATCTTAGAGGTAGACCAGATTCAGCCCAATATCTTAGAGGTAGACTAGATTCAGCAATCATGGTCCTTGCAGCTTCCTTCAATGTTCTATTTCTTCTTTCTGCAACTCCATTCTGTTGAGGAGTTCTGGCTGCAGAGAGTTGGTGTATGGTTCCATTCTGGTCACAGAAATCCTTTATGACCTTGTTGACGAACTCTGTTCCCTTGTCTGATCAGATAGTCTTGACTTTCTGATTCTGCTCATTCTGTAGTAGCTTCAATAGAGATGGTAGTTTCTGTAGAGTCTCATTCTTTTTCTTCAGAAAGATTGTCCAAGTGTATCTCGAATAATCATCCACCATGACTAAAGTATATCTTTTGCCACCAAGACTTGGAGTTTCAACTGGTCCCAATAAATCCATGTGGATCAGATTTAAAGGACTTGTAGAAAGATCTCAAGCACTCGGTTTGAAGGAGTTCTTCACTTGCTTTCCTTTCTGGCATGCACTGCACAGGTTCTCCTTCTTGTACACAATGTTGGGCAATCCATCAACAATGTGATCCCTTGCTAGTTTGTTGATTGTTTTGAAATTCAAGTGACTCAGCTTCTTGTGCCATTTCCAGCTAAGTTTTTAATCTCCTTTGGCTATCAGGCAAATTCCTTCTTTTGCAGTTGACCAATCAACAACATATATGTTTCTTTTCCTGGTAGCTGTCATAACCACTTCCATAGTTGTCTCATGCTTGACAGAGCAGTCTTCTTTGGAGAATTCAACAGTGTAGCCTTTGACATATGAGACATCATCAATGATTATCTGGTTCCTGATCAGCTTGCCTTTCCGTTTTGTTTGGCCTTCTTTATTGTTGCCACCAAAAGTGAGTTTTGGCCCTTTGCATCTCTGGAACTCTGAAAGGCAACTCTTGTCACCAGTCATGTGCCTGGAGCATCCACTATCAATATACCAATCTTGCTCAGAGATTGCTCCAGCACACAGTTCCTGCAGTAATAAAAGGAAGATTTAGGTACCCAAGCAATGTTGGGTCCTAGGGGGTTATGCAGTCTTGGCAGCGGGTACCACTTTGGTCTCATCAAGTGAAACCTTGGTGGGTGGTACCCATTGTCCACCTAGTAGTCATAGTAAACGGAGGTGTGATTCATTTTAGGCAGATGCTTGTGAGGATCATGCTTCCTGTTTACGTACTTCTGCATAGCCTTTTTGGTTGGGTAGAAGTCCCATATACTATCAAGAGCAGAGGGGTGATTAGCTTTGGGCTTCTGAGGTTGACCAGCCAACCTCTTCTGCCTGAAGTTTACCTTCTCTTGATATTTGCCTTTCTGGTGGTCATTTCTGGTGGGGTAGTCATGAGAATGTCTAGTCAAATTCTGTCTTTGATTTCTGTTATTTTGAAAACTTTTCTTGTTGTTAAGTTTTCTGCCAGGTTCATTTTTTTTCAAATTTTGTTTGGGTTGAACCTTTATCCTTTGCTTATCTGGTCTGACCTTCTCATGAACAACCTTAGTACCAGATACACTAGCTTGGCAAATGGTGCTAGAAATCAGTGGCACTATGACCTTATCTGCCGTAGCAACTCTGGTGCTAGGCATTATGGAAGACTCACCTGATTCTGTTGAGCCATAACCAAGACCAAAACCAACACCAATTTGTTGATCAAGTACAATCTTTTCCATGGAGGATTGGGCCTTCTGGTAAGCTTTGTACTTAATCTCAAGAGGCTCTATTTCCCTTATTCTCTTGAGAAGAGAAACATTTTCAGCTTCCAGTTGATCTCTCTCCTTAATCAGAAGATTGATTTTGGTTTCAACCTCCTTTCTTAAGTCAAGAATCTCAACCTTAAGCTTACTGTTTTCTTCTTTGACAGAGGAATAAGGGGCTTGGATGGCTTGAAACTCTTCCCAAAATTCTGACATTGAATCAGAATCAAAAGCTTTGCCTACCGAAGAAAAACTAGATGAAGAAGTAGAGGTTACCTCATTATCAGATTGACCCATAAGGCATAGGTCTTCAGTTTCTGTATCTAGGCAACAGAATGCCTCATCGGACTCTGATTCTGAACTGGACTCTATCTCAGAGAGGGTGTCCTTCTCTGGTTGCTCTGTGATGAGTGCCTTTCTCCTTCTGTGCTCATACTTCTTCTCTCCTTCTTGACCTTGGCTTTTGGAGACAATTGGGTGTGGACAGTTGGCCTTGAAGTGACCTTGTTGTCTGCAGTTGTAGCAGAGAAGCTCTCCACTACTTTCTGATGGTTTGGATTTCTGGAATGACTTTCTGCTAGAGGATGAACTTCTGCCATCCTTGGGCTTCATGAATTTCCTGAACTTCTTGGCAAAGGCAGCCATATATTCGTCAGTTAAAAGTAAGGAAGGGTCAAACTTTATTACCTGCGAGGTGCTGGCTATGAGGGCAGTAGTTGTTCTGTACTCAACTTCTTCTTTCTCTTCTTCATTCATCTCGAACTCATAAGATTTGAGATCAGAGATGAGTTTCTCAATGCTGTAGGTCCTGAGATTTTTGCTCTCTCTCATGGCAGTAATTTTCATCTTCCAGGGTGAAGGTAGACCTCTGAGAACCATCAAGTTGACTTCCTTGGGAGTCAGTTCCTTCCCAAGTTCTGAAATCTCAGCAGTAAGGGTGAGCAGGCGTGCATACATCTCAGCTATGCATTCCTTGGGGAGAAGTTTGAAGTCTTCAAACTTCTTCATGGCAATTGTGAGCTTGTTGTCTTTCTCCTGCTCATCACCAGCTCCTATCAGGGTAAGAGTATCCCAGATAGCCTTGGCAGATGTGCACTTCTTGATCCTTGTGAAGTATTTATCATCAATGGTCTTGTACAAAATGTCTTTGGCTATGTTATCAAGATTGTACTTCCTTCTTTCTTCATTAGACCATTCATGGCGAAGCTTAGTGATCATTTGGGGTTGACCACTGCCAGCAGAGTACTCAGGATTTACTTTGGTGAACTCAGTGAAAGGACCTGCATCCAGGACTTCCCACATTTCATCGTGTAGTGCGCAGAGATGGGCTTTCATGCGTATCTTCCAGTCATCAAACTTGGTAACTGAAAATATCAAGTTCTTTGACAAAGTGTTATCCATAATAAGAGATTAAAAGAGGCTAAAACAATTGGATCTCTGTTCAGCAAGTAACCTAAAAGATTACAAGAACGAGGAGGCTCTGATACCACTTGTTGGTCCCGTTTATATTAGGAACAGTCTAGAGGGGAGGGGGGTGAATAGACTGTTCAGGATTTTTCAAAACATTTCTCTAAGTCAATACTGACTTATCAGAGAAGGTCGAAATCTGGTGACAGAGAAGGTCAAGTTCTGATGGCAGAGCTGGACCTGGCAGCAGATTGGTTTCTGTCCGGGTAGCCTCAGAAAAACACTAAGGCAAATGCTTCTCTGATAACTCTTAAGGAAGATCTGCTGGAAACAGAGTCCAACCTTTTGTGTTATGCAGTCAAAGTCTAAAATGTAGAAAGTAAATGCGTAAAGTAAATGACACCGGGGATTTTTATAGTGGTTCAAGGAACAACGCGTTCCTCTAGTCCACTGTTCCACTAAGCTTGTAAGTTAACAATTACAATACCTTAGTCCCTAGCACTTAAGAAGCACTCATCGTCTTCTTCAAGCCTAGTTGCCACCCGGGATGTAGCCCTGCTTCCTGATGGCTGGTCTCGTTTCACTGAGTCTCTTGGAAGTATCTCCACTTCACTTACTCCAGTTAGTTTGAGACGTCCCTTCTTTTTCAAGAAGTATTTGATATAAAAACAGATTTCTCCAACGTAGCTTCTTCACAAAGGATGTGTAAGTGAGGCTTTCGAAGTGTTGAAGAACTGGAGGAACTTGGCTCTTTGTTGGACAAGAGGATAAGAAGTTGGTATCTTTCCAACGTAGGCTTTTCTTGTTGAAGTGAATGAATTTGAAATCTCAGGAAAGCTTGGATGCTGATGGTGTAGTTTTAGCAAAATGTAGAGCAGAATTTATCCTGTAGTTCTTCGAAGTGTATCTTATATACTGAGAGCAATCTTCCCATTGGAGTGTAGAAGACAGCTTCATTAAATGCTTGTACTGTGTATTTGACAAGTTGGACCTTCGACTTGCTATTTTGGGGGCGAAAAGATACCCGCATGGTCAATGATCAGCTTTTTTTTTGAACCCGGTAGGCAAACCACCAAAATCAGTGGGGCAAACGCCGGGGAACATTTGCCAGATTTTATTAAAAAAATAGAGAAATACAAAACGAAGAGGGGGACTAGACCAAAACCTCTTCAGAAAGGGCATTCCCTTTCAAAAATACACACCAAAAGGTAAATACAGAAGAGCATAGAAAAATGAAAACTACCAAATACTCCGAAAAGACGGGATATCGAAAAAATCCAAGTAGTAAGCAGATCTAACAGTGGAAGGACGAGAAATAATATTAGGAAAATTTTTTAAATGGGCCACCTGAATACCCGCAAGATAATGGGCCGGCCAATTAGCCTGCCTCATTACCTGTCCGAAAGAAACACCGGCCCTCCTAGCCTTAACCAGAATATCGTCAATCAGCCCTTTCCATTTCCCAGTTGGCTTTCTTGAAATGGAGTTCAACACCTCTACCGAATCAAATTCCACCTGAAAATCGATGTAGCCCTTATCGATCGCCCAGTTCATCGCCACTCTCATGGCTTCCAACTCTGCCTCAAAACTCGAATCCGCCTTCAATGGAAACTGGATAGCAAAAATGAGTTCCCCCTTATCATTCCTCATCAAAGCTCCTCCCGACGCCATATTAGGAAGGTAAGAAGCATATGTGTTCATTTTTAAGCGGCCTTTGGGTTTTTTCCATCGAATAGGCCTGAGAATTCTATCCGTAAGTTTAAACGTAGATGGGATTAGGTTTTCACTGAAAAGAATTTTATCAACCACTACAACTTTCATGCTCGACAGACTGAGAACCCAAGATTGCGTATATAATTTGACCTGCCAAATAACTTTATCAGGAATGATAGTTGAGGGTTTATTACTCCAGAAAATCCTAGAACAAATCTTCCAAATATGCCAACAGATAATGCCCGGGATGTTATGTCTGAAAATATCCATCAAATTTTTACTCCCAGCATGAAGCCACCATTGAAAAAATACCTGTCTCATAGAGTAATCACTCATAGGAACCTCTTGCACATAAGAAAAGTAGTTCCAAATAGGTCGAATTAATGAACAACTATAGAAGATATGATTCATGTTTTCAGAATTAGCCTTACACCAAGGACAGATAGAGGGATTCAGCACCATATTGAATCTAGCAAGGTTATCCCTAATAGGTAGATATCTATTTAGCAACTTCCATTGAAACAACTGAATATTAAGCTTTTGCTTGGGATGCCAAAGATGCTTAGATGAAAAAGAAGTACCTGAATGATTCCTCACTAACTCATAGGCTGATTTAAAGGAAAAGGATCCATTCTTATCAGCACTCCAACACCAATTAAGGTCCTCACCCTGTTCACATAGACTTGTAGCCAGACTATTAATGCCACATAATCTTCTCCAAATTGGAGAATCAGTAACTTTAGGATTCATATCATCCCCTCTAGGATACCTTGCATTAATAAAGGAAGTCCACATAGAAGAAGAAGTCTTCCATTTCCACCAGAGCTTTAGAGAAAAAGCTTTTTCAATGTTTTGTAAACTTCTGATTCCCAGGCCCCCCTCTTCTGTAGGATAACAAAGCTTATCCCAATTCCTCCAATGATATTTATTTTTATTGTGTGCAGCTCCCCAGAAGAAATTGGACATTGTTCTCTCTAACATTGTGATCACTTTCTTTGGCAGATTGTCCACAACAAGAAGATGCATAGGAATAGAGCACAGAACATGCTTTATTAAGATAAGTCTTCCTCCTTGACTCAACATTTTTTGCTTCCAAGATGACAGTTTGGATTCAAACTGATGAATAATGTGCCCACAGAATGTAAACTGACCCCCAAATACTTAGTAGGAAGAGAGCCTTTATCCATCCCCAAAATGTCCTTTATACTTGTGCTTCTTCTGTTGGCCCTTTTTCCACAAATAAAAGAGCTTTTGCTCAAGTTAACCATCTGGCCAGAGGCATTTTGATATAGATTGATAAACCTCTTAAAATTTAATAATGATCTTGATTCCCCATTAAGAAAAATAAGCAGATCATCCGCAAAAGCCAAGTGAGTGACAGGGTGACCATAAGCTCCCATCCAATATGGTTTAATGCAATGATTAGTAAACTGCCATTTGAGACCTCTTGAGAAGGCCTCAGATGCAATGATGAAGAGATAAGGAGAAAGTGGGTCACCTTGTTTAATTCCACGTTTGGGCTGAAAGAAACCTTGTGGACTTCCATTAATCAGAATAGACAAGTAGGTAGCCTGAAGATTATTAATGATAATATTCACAATATGATTAGAAAAGCCAAATTTAATCATAATGATTTTTAGGAAGTCCCAGGAAAGCCTATCAAAGGCTTTAGCCATATCAAGCTTGATTATAACATTAGATCCTCTAACTTTCTTTTCAAGAGAGTGGACCATTTCCTGTGCAATTAGAGTCTGCTCTGACATATCTCTCTCCTTCATAAAACCCACTTGTTCAGGGGAAATAATTTTAGGAAGAATATTAGCAATCCTGGTAGCCAAAACCTTAGTACAAATTTTCCCCACAAAATTGGAAAGACAGATTGGTCTGTAGTCAGAAAAAGATGAAGGAGACTCACACTTAGGAATAAGCACCACAAAAGTACTAGAGATCCCCTTGGGAATAGGGGTTCCCAAGAAGAAGTCTTGTACAGCCCTGACCAGATCATCACAAATAATATTCCAGCACTTCTTATAAAACTTACCATTAAAACCATCTGGGCCTGGAGAACCATTTGAATTAAGATCCCATACAGCAACCTTAATTTCTTCCATACTAGGAAGAGTGGAGAGGAGAGCATTTTCTTCTTGATCAATTAACTGTGGTATGAATTGCATGATTTCTTCATAATCAACTTCACATTCATGGGAGTAAAGGTTGGAAAAGAACTGTATTGCAGCTGTGACACTCCAAAAATTTAAATAAAAATAATTTTTATTAGTCAGATAAATCATAAAATGTTACGAAAATAACATTTTAATAATTAATTGAGTCAGACAAAAATTCAACAGTTGTACCATGCTAATCAGATAAAATTTCAAAAATTTATGACTTTTTAGTCAGATAAAAATATTTCATTAATAAGAACAACATTTTATTAAACAAGTGAACCAGACAGAAAATTTACATTTGCGACATTTTTAGTCTGATAAAAATGGACCGATAATAGAAGTAACGTTTTAGTATAAAATTAAGTTTTATATATATCTATTTTAAGATTAAGTATAAAATACACAAATACAATAATATAATAACTAAAATAATATAGAAACATACTCCTAATAAACCTACGTACGTCCTAGGTAGTACAAAGTACTACGTAATAATAACTAACTAAATATATATATATAAAAAAAAATCCCTACGTACTAACATAACTAACGTAATACGGAGTATGTACCTGGTTAAAACCTAAAGAAACACAAACACATGTAGTATGAACTCCTTCGGTATATTTTTTGGCCGGCAAAAAAAAAACCAACCAAAGATAAGTATGAAGCTAGTTAAATTCAACTCAAACTCTAACATCTCAGCCTAAAACCCTCGACCTACACGTATAAATAATAGCCTAGGACTTGTGTTTTCTTCATCCCAAAATCTGCAACTTATATATACATATACGTATATATATATATATAAAAAATTTCAACCCTTCGTTTTTACAAGAACCGAGCCTTGAAAACACTTCTACAACCTTCCCCGTAATTAGACGAATCCAAAGAAACAAAAATCGTGGAAAACGGACGTCGGAGTAGGGAGAAATAGCTCGCCGGAGTTTCGCCGGGGAAAAAACTTTTCGACGGAAAACGGAGAAGAGGGAGGAGCCGCCGCCGCCACCAGTCCGTTGCTGACCGTCGCCGTCCCAAACGGAGCCAATAGCAGTGCCGTTTCGCTTGTCCGACGAGGTAAACCCCTTCCCCCTGTTTTTCCCGTTTTTCCGGCGACCTGGGGAAGAAGACGACCCAGCAATTGCTGGGGTATGTCTTTTGGGCCTTTTCTTGTTGGGCCAGAAAAATTAAATTTGGGCCAGTTCGGCCCAGTTGCAATAAAAATTAAAAATAAAATAGTAAATGAAATAAATAAAATCTGGAAAAATATAAATTAAATACCTAGTATAAATATACATATTCGGACCAACCAGAATTGAAAAATAATATTTTTATCTATTTGTAATTGATTTAATTGTAATTGGGCCAATTTATACACATTTAGTAAATAATTAACTAAATAACGAAAATAATTACGAAAAAAATATTGGAGTAAACTAGGATAAATATATGACTAACTAGGACCTTATGGGCCATTTATAATTAATAAATATTAAGATTTAGTATATTTAATTGTAATTGAACCGGTTAATAGATATATGAAATTAAGTGAATAATTATGGAAATAATTATAAAATAGATATCTGGACAACCTAGGTCAAATATAGACCCAAAATATAGTTATAGACGGTTTTTAATTTATAAAGTCGATTCTTAGTCTATTTAATTTAATTGGGCCATATAAAACTAGTTAAGTAATTAAATAAGGGAATATTAATATTAATGGTGAAATAAATAAATCACTGAGATTGAAAAATAATATTCTGGACTAAAAATGATGTTGGAATAAAATAAGAAAAATAAAATTAAGGTTGAATTAGCTAACATAAATAATTGACTATATGTAGACTTAATAAATAACTTAGTTATGTAATTAGTGGACTAATTCAATTAATAATTTTTATGATTTATTATTAGATATTCCGACTTCATATAAATATTTAAAATATTTGAATTCATAAATTAATGGGTTAATATAAATAAAGTAATTAGATAATAATTTATGAGTAGAGTAAATTAATGGTGATTATTGAATAAAAATTTGATGTTGAGGTTAATTATATTCGGATATTTTAATTAATATTAGAATTCAAATATTGTAATTAATGGCTGAATTAATAAGGTAATTTGATTAATAAAAAGAGATTAATCAAATAAATTCGAATAACTAATAAATTAAGTTAATAAATAAGGAAATAAAAGGGGAAAAATTGAATAAAATAATTTATAAATAGAATAAGTGACTAATTATATCATCTAAATTAAAAAGGTGCTCATTTAGAGATTGGAATTGAAGAAGAGAAGTAGACGCATTTGGATTTAAGGTAAGTTTCACGTCAACCGAAATTAGTTCTTTTTCTTCGTGATTTCTTTTAAATATTTTTGTGTGCTTATTTGAGAATTGAATTTATGTGTGCTGAATTTGAATATTATTATATAAAAGGATTGTATTTGAGATATTAGTTTGTTGATATGAGTTATTTTGGAAGATTTTGTAATAGTACGTAATTTGTTATCTTTGTGGGAGTTTAATGAAAAAGGAAATATTTGAAAGAGAAATAAATATTTTCATAAAGGGTGAGCATCACGAGAGAAATCCGTGGTGTTGGTTTTCCACGTCCCTTAAAATGTGGAGGATGGTTAGGTCTACTACTACTCAATTTTTGGTTTGTGTTGGTTTGAGGTGAATTGTCGATCGGTAGAAAACATCCCGGCTTTTGAGTAGTAGTGGTAGTAGTAGCTCCTAATCATTCAGGTTTTGAGGTGGGGTAGTTGGTAGAAAACATCCCGGCTACCCGGATCGACTTACTAACCCGGAGGGCTTGGAATACCTTTAGGGGGTGTGCACACTTAAAGTAGTTGTTTCCGTTTCTAAGGAGTAGTTGTGGTACCGGCGATAGTTCCGGGGTGGCCGTACATAACAATGGACCACCGGGCTCAACAAAAGTGTTGAGCACCGCCCTTCTAAATTACTAGGAAGTTAGATACAAAGTGATTTTGGGAGAAGTTCAAAAGAGGAGAATTTTGGTGTTTCCTGTAATTTGGAATTATTATGGTTTATGAGTTAATTATGTGATTGAGATTTTATATAGATATCGTTTACTTATGATTTATGATTTATAAAGTGTTTTGAAAAATATTTTATGAGGTTGTACGAATTTATATATAGTATTTATTATTATTTTAAAAGGTTAGGTAGAACTTACATAGCATTATTGCTAATGTTTGTTTTCTTTTATTTTTCTTGTGCTCGTATTTAACAGGAGGTGATCATGTTGATTTTGATGCTGCAATGTTTGAGAGCGCGAATTAGAAGACAACTATGTAGTTCACTAGAAATAAACTTTAATATTTGCTTATGATTCGAACATCTTGATTTTTGTTAAACTCGTGTTTTGGTAGATAGCCTTAGCATCCAATCATTCACGGATTGGATGTGGCGGTGACATGCCCCTTTTTCTTAGTTTTTATTAATTTCCGCTGCAACTTTTGAAGTTTTAATCATTAAATAAAAGTTCATCTCTATTTCGAAGTATTATTTTGGGTGAAAAATTTGGGGGTGTCACAGCCACCTCTTTTCGCAGTGCGACACAATCCTCAGTGTTGTGCCCAATGTCATTGTGAAAATCACAATGCTTACTCGGGTCTCGACATCCGGCTGGTTTGTCATTTTTCTTGGGCCATCCAACTTTTCCCCCCAGCTTCTCTAAAGAGTGGATGAGTCCCGGGGTGGTGACATTGAAGCAGTAATCGGTGATGACGGGTGGAAAATCTTGATCATCAAACCATTCTGCTATTGACGCTACTGGCCAATCCTCGGTTCTAGCATAGGGTTTGCCAGTCCAGTAATCGTGCTTCCTAGACGTGTTGGATTTTCGTTGCCCCCCGTCATATCCATCCTGTCGAAGCCGTGATTATTGGTCCTCCTCGAGCCTGATGAAAGCTATGGTCTTAGCCTGGACATCTTCGAAGGTTCTGCAGGGGTATTTAGTCAGTTCTCTGTACAGTTCTGAATCGTCGATTAAACCCCTCTGAAATGCCTCCACTACTGTCGAGATGTCACACCTGGAAATCGACACTTTTTCTTTATTAAAGCGATGCATATAGTCTCTCAGTGACTCGTCTCGACGTTGGATGATTCTGTAAAGATCGCTTGTCTGCTTCTCAAGAACTCGACTGCTTGCAAACTGTTGGTTGAACGCGTCAACTAGTTCCGCAAACGAGTTGATCCCTCCATTTGGCAGTTTGACGAACCATGTTAGGGCAGGACCAGATAGTGTCGCTCCAAAACCTCGACACATGCATGCTTCTTTTTTTATCTGGATGAAGTGATACGGCAAGCATTCGCTGCTTGTATTGAGCAATATGTTCCAGCGGATCAGACGTACCATCGAACATCTTCATTGATGGTGCGGCGAATTTTCTTGGTATTTCCACATCGGTGATCTGTCTGCTAAAGGGGGAATCTACATAACATGTTCGTGGTGCTCGATCCAAAGGTGGGGGCACTCCTGGTAACCCGTTGATCTATTCTTGCATCTGACGTAATTGGTCCATCATCATAGACATTGTATCTGCCAAACCTGGTTGAAGTAGTCCTCCCGTTGAAACCATTAGTCGTGTCACTTCGGAATGGGTTTGTGACGGAATGACTATGACTTCCATACGTTGCCCCCCGCAATTCTCATTCATTAAATTGACAAGTCGACGCGGTCGTTGTTTCTGAACTTCAGGTGGCAAGTCATCAAAGATGTTCCGTCTGCGGTTCTGCATGAAGTTGGACGGACCGGGCTCACCATGAGTTCTGCTTTTGTAGTGAGCGACAGACGGTTCCGTCGTGGCTGATACGGCCGAAGCCATTGGTAGGCTTTCGGTGGTTGAGTGCAAGCCTGTTGTTCTTGGTCCGGGACGAAGAGATTCCGGAAAGAAACAAGTCGGTATGCTCGGAAGGGGAGTCGTCTCAGGGACGA